CGCTGCCTCGTTCTCCTTGGTCGTTCGTTCGCCGCCGTTGTGTTCGCGCGCGCGGCGAAATTCGCAGGTGGACACCTGCCTGCTCGCGACCCCTCATTCTCTCAAGCGAACTACCACGCCGCGCCCGTTTTCCGGTCTCCAACGGCGAAATTAGAATGAATGTTTGCGAGAGCGTCGACCTCGAAAGAAGCTCGTGCGGATAGCGATGGGCGCGCTGCGCCCTTTCGCAGCGCCAGCACCAAAGAGCGAGGCGCGGCGCTTCCTCGGGTATTGTTGGGGACCCAGGGAGCCATTTTCGCCTCTTTCAGGGAAAACAAACATTCGTTCTAGGTGGATGGTAACTACTCGCCTCAACAGAGAGAGAGAAATGGAGAGAGAGAGAGAGAAAGAGCACGAAAACGCGCATGCCCGTCCCCCTGGCGCCGCGACGGCTGAACGGAAGTACTACTTTTACGCGGCCCTTTCGCGTCCCTCCTACTTCCTCAAGGTCTCTTTCTTTCTCCTCCTCTCGTTCTCTTCCTCGCTCGTTCTCTCTCTCTCTCTCTCTCTCTCTCTCTCTCTCCTTCTCTCTAGTTCTCTCGCCACCCTATCCGCCGTTCCTTACACCCTTTTCCACACAACACGGCCGTTCCATTCTCGCAACCCCCTCAGGCGTTACCCACTGCCGCGGACTGGAAATCACCGTCTCGAGTTGCGTGCGTTGCTTAGAGCCCGACGAGGGTCGGCCGCGGTGTGCAACCCCCTTTGTAGCGGCAGTTCGTGCACCTTCATGGCCTGGATTTATCCAAACTAACCAGTTTTATTCGCTGACACGGGACGTTAATAGATACGATATCGTGCGCGGCGGACACGGTATATTTGACGTCTGTCCGTAAGAGTGTCTACTAATAGCTTCCTATTCTTGGAGGCCCGACCGAAACCCGTCGCGGATTTACATCGACCTCTCAATTTGACGCGAGAAAGAGACAGTAAGAAACACGAATAGGTAGGCTCCGGGACGAAACCCGGAGCACACCCCTTGCGATAGCGTTTCATATATTTCGCGTGTCGATCAACTCTTCCCTTCGCGACGGTCGCGAAAAGTTCATAATTCCGAAGAAACACATTTTCGCAGGTGGCAACGTGGTTATTTGATAGATTGATAGGTAGACAAGTGCGCGTTTATGATCGTCCTAAGAGGGTGCCTGATCCTCTGAGAGTATATAAAAGAAAAATTTGTGAATTGATAGAGTGAAAGTGAGGGGGATTAGAAAATTACCTAACTATTCATTTTTTTTATAAATAAACATCAAAGCTTTGTAAAAAGATCGAGAGATGTGCACCTAATATATAGAAAAATTCTTTTTTAGAAAAAAATTCTATATTATATATATCATATTCTCAGATTAGCGCAAAAGTTTTGTCAGTTTTTATTAAGTTCTCCTAAGATGTTCGGGTATTAGCAGAAAAATAGGAGGTACTCGTTAGATATTTATAAAATTTTCTTCATATTTGCTAGAGACTGATAGATAGATAGATGAGAGAACAGGAATAAATTCTAACATCGAAACGACATTATTCATCTCATTCGTAAAACTGATTAATCCCTCAAAACTGGGTGATTTCGTTTTCTATTTTACTTGACAAACACGACGGGTTTTGCATCAAGCTGATGGTGTGCAATCAGATGTTATTTCTCCGACGCTATTTATCAAATAGCCAGGCCGCAGGTGGCGACGGTCGGACGAGCCTAAGATGAGGCTCCACGGGCGTCTGCTAAGAAAACAAATCCTTCCTCGATGAAGCACTTGCTGCCGACCGCCGTCGCCGGCGCCCCCGTATCCGATTCTTTCGTTTCGCCCGCAGTCAGCCACGTCGACACGGAGGGGGTCTCAAGGCGCGCGCGAACCCTTCGTGTCCGCGTGGCCGGGGGCGCGAGCGAGCGTGGTGTTTGCCTTCGTGGGTTTGGCCTTATGAAAATACAGATCCGCGGGGCGGATTGACGGGCGCCCTTCGAACCCGAAAGTCGGGGGATTATTACACTCGACGTTGCCGTCGACGTCTGACAGTTGACGTCCTTTCAGCGGTGCGCGACTCGACGTCCCTCGGAGATTCAGCCGGCGGATTCTCGCGATGCTCGATACATTCCGCGACGTCGGCGACGAGACAAGACGAAGGGGCTCATTCAGGACGCGCCAGACCGATCATCCCCGCCGCCCTGTTCGCGTATCTACACGGGGGTTGGAGAGGCTTGGTTGAATTAACCTAACAATGAACGCACGAACTGCCTAAACGCGTTTTGGCTGAAGAAAACACGATTTTTGGTTCTTACGCGAGTCGATATTTCGAATCTGCTATGAGTTATAAAAATGCCAATGTCATCTTTCAATGCTCATGCGGAAAGAAATATGACGGTAACAAATAATTATACAGTTGACAACTATAACAGCTTTGTAGAATTAATGTGTATATAAACTACTTTTGGGTTATTAATAATTGGTTATTTGCAGTATCAGGGTAAGCCAATAATAAGTTGGCACATCTGAGAATTCTTCATTGACTCTTCAATTCGATAGAATTCGCAGGGTCAATGTGGAATCAAATTTTCGACTGGGGTATGAACCAAATTGGATTCTGATTGATTAAGGGAAGGTTCTGCGTTAGATAGCCGAAAAATAGTAGTTTTTTTTTCAAAGACATATAGATAAAATTGTTAACATATTTGACCATTTTACTTATTAATGCTTGAAATATAAAACATTATTCAAACCAGAATCTCCCCTTGAGGCATTTACCCATAGGGAGCCAGAAAATTCACTTTAGGCTTGAGTCGAACTTTTGCAACTTCTGTGCAGCTGTGTATTTTCACTCGTTTGAGTGAGTTCCCACTCCGAGAAGCTTCGAGAGAAATTCACGAACCAAATTCACTTCTGAGAATCAGAAATTCTGTCTCTCTCAAGCAAAATATGTTTGCTTCGTTTATTGTCAGGTTAATCAGCCCAGCTATTTATTTACACCTCTCCACCCGTAGTCGCGACGTGCTCGGAAGATACGCCACGCCGTGCGGCAAAATCGAGATCCGCGAGCGTGAAAACGCGGAAAGCCGCGGATTATTTCGCACGACGTCTCCCGAGCTGACGCCCTTTCAGATGTGTCAATCCCACTTGATTCACCCGACTCGTCCTCGTTCGATGTATCCGAGGACGACCTGCGTCGAGGCGACGACGAGGCGCGAGGGGTTATAAGTCGATTGCACTCGAGGCGATTTATCCGTAGATCGTTAGACCGGAGGGGAGAGATCTTCTCCGTGAAGAATTGCTCGTGCGCGAACGAGCGAGCGTCAACTGTCGTCGGCTCCGTTGGCGCGCGATCAAGCCGGTCGGGTGGAGTCGCAGAGAGAATGCGAGTGCGAGGGTAAGGAACAGATGTCGGAATACTCGGCTTGGGAATGTTTACGTCGCGTAGGGATTTTACATCCGAGAGCGAGACATACGACGTACACGTGCGGAAAGTGTCGGGCGGTGTCCTTTGTCCAACGAATAATCGCGCCTTTCAAACAAGCCCCGCGCGCAGAAGCTGTCGGCTGATATTAACGGCCGCGCCCGGCGCGTACAAAGGAGTGACAAGTTGTAATGATAACCGGGGTTGTGTTTTGATAAGTGTATCTTGTACGATGGGGGAGTGCACGCAAGAAGTATATTTGTGCACTCGCGCGGCTCACGTACGATCGTACAAATAATCCGGTAATCCGTGGACGGAGAGCGCGTATGGGTCGTTTCAATGGCGCGCGCGCGCGCTAGCAGAGCCCGGCGAGACATAACCTCCGTGATCGATTAGGACTTTTGATCTTCGTATGTGTGTGTTTGCACTTGCCGCGCTTTAAACTACGTAAAGTACAAAAATAATCCTCGACTCTTTTGAAAGAAGGAATTTGATACGTTTTTTGATGTCTTTGGAGCACGTATAGCTTTTTTGTGTTCACTTTCATTTCACGTCTATCATCTTCTTGGCATATATCAGGGGACAAAATTTTCTTAATGATTTTCAAATTTTCTTATGATTTCACATCTATATATATTGAAAATTGTTTTCTTGCATTACAAAATTTGATTTCATATACTAAAAAGGAAGAAAATATCTGAAGAAAATATTCACACTAATGACATGTTTACTTAAATAATTTTTTTATTAAATCAAATAAATTGCTTTTATGAAGAGCTAAAGTTTCGAAAAAATATATCTTCTTACTTGAAAAATACTTTACATTAGTATAAGTAAACATGTTATTAGTACCCGTGAATATTTTTACGCGTACTGATGAAGTTGTAACGATGTAAGAATGGGCGTAAAAACAATTAAGTAAGGCTACTCTCTTATTACATTGATTTCCAGCATTTCCTGAAGCACACTGTATCTTTTATATTTATTATCATCTCTCTACTATTGGAAAGTATTAGGGAATAAAATTCGCTTAAAATAACGAGGAGAAAAATTGCACGCTCTTAAAAAAATTCGCTGTAAAAATCCCCGCGAGTACTTTAGCGCTGTGAGGCGTAAGCACTCTCTCCAGTTCCAAGCTATTTAAAGCGCACGACGCGACACGGCGTTATCCTCGCTCGAAAATTAACGCGGTGCTCTTCCTGTCCCCTGCTCCGTCGTCCGGTGCGCAGCGTATTTTTGCTAATTCGCGACATCCTTGCGACCGGTCGTTCGTCGTCGCCGTCATCGTCGTCGTCGTCGGCGGCGGCGGCGGCGGCGCACGAGTGGGTGGGCGACAGCGCGTGGACGAAAGGGGGCAATGACGCGTTAATTGCCGCATTGTTATGTTAATACGTTGAAGGCTGCCCGCAATAATTTCGTCACCGTTCGTCGTCGCATGCCGGGGACCCCTAATGGATCCGCAGATAATTGGAAAGGAGAAAGAGAGAGAGAGAGAGAGAGAGAGAGAGAGAGAGAGAGAGAGAGA